GAATTGATATTAAATTGAACTAAAAGTAATTTATGGTCATAACCAACTGCAGGATAGACACCTGTGGTTTTGAAATTTAAAAATTTCAGAAATTTCCTCTGAACTTTCTCTAAACTAGCGATGTAAACATTATAACAGGGAGATCAGACAGTACCTACCACAATATTTTAACTTAGAACTAATGTAACAAAAATATAATGTCTTAAGAGCTAACACAGTCAAATCAAGATCAGTCAAATCGCAATCAAATCTAGAACAGTCTCTCATCATGAATACCAACATTTTAAAAGCTGAACTTGTCACATATTCAAATGAGTGGAAAATGACAATTCCATGTCGAAACAAATTCCAATTCTTTCTAATATTTCAGAATAGAAAATTGCTTACTTGTAAATGTTAAAATTTTACACTTAGTAGCGTTCATGGTTGTTATTTACGTTATACCAACTGTTGTTGAATTAGGAGACAATTATGTATAAAGTTAATTTTCATGAACAACTTATGGTCGACAGCAAGAAATAGATGGACACATTGAATTATAAAAGACAATTCATTTATAAATAATAAAAACAACAATGGTCCAAGGTTCGATCCTTAGGGAACTCCGGATATAGCTAAAAAGTAGTCAATTTATGACCGTTGTAAGTAACATACTGCTGTCTATTTTGAAAATAATACTGAACTAATATTATTAATGATTTACCCAAACCAAAAGAGCAACGAGTAAAAGTGGCCTCTTTTCAAATGAAATGATACTATTAAACTCTAAAAGTATCAATCCTGTAAATTTATACCATGCATTTTATGTTACACGAAATGAAAATGCAGTCAAATTGGTTTTATGCAATATAGAAAAAATCATCCGCAAATATCTTCTATGGTAAAAAACACCATATACAGGGTGGGACATTAGTGTGAGAAAGTAAAATAACTCCCTTTTTACTCATAATAGAGAAAAAAAGTTTATATAAAAGATATACAGAGTCAAGCAAACCTAAACTACAAAATTAATTTGACACATACAGGGTGATAAGTAAAAACGGGACACGCCAAATATTACATTTTTTAAATGGAACATCCTGTATATTTTTAAACATATGGATTTCCAAGAAAATTCCATAACTGGCAATATAAACAGTTTATCATTTTAGTGCGGGGTTGCCAAGTTATGTAGAGAATTCTACGAATTTTCGAAAAAACATGACCTCGAAGAAGTTGTATTAACTTTCAGCTACTAACACTTGGAACAAAATAATTAGAAAGAGGTATAGGCAATATCGATATTTTATACAGGGCATTTTTTATAATACGATCATTTTTAGAATGTTTAAACTTGATTATCTAAAATTTTTCAAATGGTATTTTATTGTTCTATTTTATTCACATATCGGTCCACTTCAACTTTTATTAAGCATGTTCTATATCTTAAATTGTTAGTTTTTAAGATATAGCAATATTACTGAAGAAACTTAATTTTTATTATTTTATAGAATACCACAAATAAATATTAACTAATAAAATTAACTCAAAATGGAATGATAAATTATGAACTGACAAGTTAACACAATGTGACATTTTTTTCCAAAGCCATTTCGTGCAACCGAAAATAATAAAAATTAGGTTTTTCCAGAAATGTTGCTATTTCTTAAAAACTAACAACTTTATGTGTAGAACATACTTAATAAAAGTTGAAGTGGACTGATATGTGAATAAAATAGAACAAGGTGGTTCCATTTGAAAAATTTTAGAAAATCAAGTTTGAACTTTCTTAAAATGATCGTATTATAAAAAATGCCCTGTATAAAATATCGATATTAGCTATATGCCTAACATTTGCCTATAATTATGTCAAATATTTTTCCAAGTGTTAGTAGTTGAAAGTTACTACAACTTCTTCGAGACCATGTTTTTTCCAAAATTCGAAGAATTTTCTACATAACTTGGCAACCCCGCACTAAAATGTTAAACTGTTTATATACCATTTCCATATGTTTAAAAATATACAGGGTGTTCCATTTAATAAATGTAATATTTAGTGTGTTCCGTTTTTACTCATCGCCCTGTGTTTCAAATTAATTTTGTCCTTTAGGTTTTTTGATTCTGTACAACTTTATATCAACTTTTTTATGTATTATGAATAACAAGGGAGTTATTTTACTTTCTCACATTAATGGCGCACCCTGTATGTCGTTCAAGCGAATGTATTGATTTTGTTTCAAACTAGTTTATTCGGCTTATATAGTCGAATAAAAATCACCTGTTGTAGATGAGAAAACTCCGAGTAACTACTTCCATGTTAGTTGTACCAAATCAGCCACATTAGTTAACAGTATATCAAGAACAAAAACAATATGCAATGATGTTTTGGTATAAAAAACGTCAAATAGATTATTCAAAGGAACATTCTTGAACCTATAATAGCTATAGTCTTGACATACAACGTGAAATAAAATTCATATGCGACTATCTGTTGGAATGTTGGAATGAAAAAAAAGCACCAAATCTTATTGAAACTGATATTAGGAACCATGGACCAAACTGTCTATTATTTCGCACACCCAGCTCTAAAATTGTGCCAATATTTTGTTGTAACATATAGGTCAGTTCACTTCGTTTCGCTTAATAATATGTGTGATATAAAGCAATTAGATAGAGCAGTGTGAAACGGAATGCGGTTTTACTAAACCGGGCACTATTGCGATAATCTGGTGACACTGAAATGACAAATGGTTCCTGTGTCTCGACTGGCCAAGCTCCAGCCAGACGGTCGAGAGACAAGTCTTATGGTTTCCATCTGGGAAATTCTGTCGTGCTTCTACCAAGAAATTAACTCACTTCCGAATAATACCAATAAAATCAATGTTAACTTGTGAAACCATTACCAGGGACTTTTAAAATCTAGATTAATTGATGTGTAATGAATTCACGACGTGAGCAGAAATTCCGTTCGCACATCTGAGGTTACAGATGATCCACAGTGGAATACAAATTCTACAAATTATAGAATGTTTTTTTTAAGATACTAGTTTTAACTCTGGATAGAGGTAGAAGATTTTATTTAAATTCTTTATTTTCCAAATAAAATATAATACACAACTTTTGACCAAACAAAAACTTCGAAGTAAGCTGGGCACAACACGTAATCCTAGATTTGAGGTCTTCTTCTTTAACTGTTACTGTCATAAGTGGAAGATAATACTAAAATGCTTAAAAGACATAGAATTACTGTGTATTTGAGGATGACATATGTTAACAGGTTTTGGACAAATATCTATAACGTTATTTTAAATAGAATTCACAATAGAAATTTCCCCTGTAGGACAAACATGTTCTAAATATATCCTTAGGATATTTGGTGGGATATAGTCCCATTTTCCAGGGTTTCGAAGGACATTTATATTACAAATCAGGATGTTCTTTCATCGGAAGTCCCAAGAACATATGGTTTGGATTATATGCTATCCTCAAGACAGTCTGAGGGCAACTGATTAATATAGCAGATATATATTATATTTCGGACATCTGGGGATACCAATGTTACAAACCAATATATCCTCTAGATATCCCATGGTATGTCCCAGGGAAATAGGGTTTATCTTGATTAAATGCTTTTCTCCGTACAGTCTCAGGATGTTTGAGTACTAAGGCAGATATAGTTTATCTTCTTATGTTACAAATTAGGATATCGTTCATGTATTCCACCGTATGTCCCAGGGACCTGGTTTAGATCATATGCTATCTCCAAGGTAATCTAAGAAGAGAGGATATCTTGTGGGTCTCCGGGCGACATATTTTTATTTCTTACCTATAGTTATATGTAGGTATATTTCAAATTGCCATTTAATTGAATCAACTTGTACCTCATTCATCGGATGGACCATCAGGTACCATCTGGGTTCCAATATTGCTACATAGCAACTAAAAATTCCTCTTCCTCTTCTAATTAGTCCATTTCAAAAAGAAAATTCTCTATTTCCTTAATTGCGCTCACGTTATTGCAACCGCAATTAGCCAAAATCGGTGTCTTATTTATTCAAATACAATTAAACATCAATACAACATCTGAAATGTGTTAACATTACACATTATATGTCCTGAGTGTAAGAAACTGACTAACAGATTTCTTTTCCTACTACTTATTGTTTTATTGTAAACATAATTAAAAATCATACTTCACTGAACAACATTGCAAGAAGGAATACCTAGAATACAAATCCGTTCGATTTCCTTACAATTTTTTTGCAGATCTATACGATTTGACCAGAAATAATTAATAGGACTATCCTTCGAACACATTATTCTTGCAATTGGACGACCGTGCTACCATCTAGACATCCCTTATCTCGTCTTTGGTATCATTATCACATGCTATAAACAGATCAAATCGCTTTAATTGTATCATAAACATGAGAAATGCATCAGGATTTTAATGTCGATTTTATTATTTTGTAAGGATAGATTGTGCATAAGTGCAACAATAACCTTGAGTGTTGGTTCTCAAAACAAAAGCTGGGTCAAAAACCCTAGGCCTACGCGAAATTTTCATAACGCACAACCATGTGTGCAGTGATCCGAGGACGGAGGCGGTTCCACCAACGGTAGTAATCAGTAGAACAGTTATAATTTTTGTTTGAAATATAAACAATCCAGTAATTAAACTCACAATTAGATATGAAATATCTAATTTGTGTGTGTTTGTAAATGTGAAAAAATGGTACATTAAATAGGTAAAATTTTTTTATTTTTTCCTAACTATTTAGAAATGCAGATAGATAACTTCGTTTAAAATAAAATGATAATCATAGAGAATATTAAGTATAGAAAATTGTTTAAAATCTATGGACAATTCAAAACATATAATTTCTTGTAAAAACATTGTATTTATTTACATCAGAATGGGTTTGCAGTTGAGTCGCACTCTTATGGACTAATGATAATGCTTCCTACACATATAAACAAGGTTAGGGCAAAATATTATATTTAATGAATAATTCTAGACAATGGACCCTACCAGTGGCATTGCCGATAAGGCGAATAGCTGCCTTCTGAATGACGAATGCTTTATAAGCGCTAGTAGCATTGCCCCAAAGACACCATACGCTAGATGGCAGTGGAACAAAGAGATGTACATCTTCAATATGGAATTATCAACGTATGGTCGGAGCTGCCTCAGCAAGAAAACCTGTTGCGCCAGTTTAGAGCAGATGCGATCTATGTGAGTAGCCCAAGTTATGAAGTGAATTATGAGTGAAAGTAATATCACGAGTCTTATCCATGTTAAGCTTAAGTTTATTAGCAGAAAACCACATACTGGCATTGTCTAGATCGCTTCTGCTCGCATCAACGCCACCACGTGTTAACAAGGTGGTGTCGTCCGCAAATAAAATGCATGTAGACTTTTGAATGTTAACAGACAGGTCATTGATATAAATTAAAAATAGAATTGGTCCAAGAACTGATTCTTGAGGTACACCGGCAATTGTAGGCACAATTTCAGAATCAGAGTCACCAATGGAAAGGTACTGTTTACGATCGGATAGATAAGAGCGGAAAAGGTTCAGCTCTTTAGAACGAATGCCATAATATTCTAACTTATATAACAAGTAGTTTTCGATATACAGGAACATAACGTTTTTTTTATTATTGCCAAAAAAAATTTAATGTTAGCATAAAACCTGGGGGATGGGAGTTTTTTAGGATGCTAAATTTCAATATGTCATTGTCTTTTACGCTGCTTGTAGAGGGCGCCATCTATAAGGGTACGCTTGAATTAAATTGGCCTTAACTTTTTTGTTACCCTGTACATTGACGTTTCGTATTAGCGCGTTTATTCCCCTATGAATTTTAAGCAAAAAGGGTATACTAGGTCGAAATCTCAGGCCAACCGTTTACCATGAAAAAATTTAAAATTTATTCACCACCTAATCAGTAATGCAATGATCTTGAATTTTATCTCTTTACATTTTATTCATGCAACTAGCCGTTTTCGAGAAAATCACTTCAGATCGTTTAGCCAGTTGCCAAAACTGCATTATTTTGTAAAATATTGCTCAACAATGAAAACGCGTTAATTTTTCGTGTAATGTTCCATTTTTAATATCCCTGAACTGTCAGCTGTCGTGCTGCCTTTTTTTCATTGGCAACACTTTCACTTGTTTAAATTTTGGGGCACCCGATATACTTACGAGATTATTGAATAACTGTTTGGAAAAACATACTGTTTCAAAGAACTGATAAATGATTTTGTTTATAATTTATGGCTATATTCAGAGGTAATACCTAAACAGAAAATGCTGGTAACAACAAAAATAAATATTATATATTTCCCAACCAACAAAAAACAACTTACTACTAATACTATTGATACAGGAAGCATGTTATCTCACAAGATAGCAACAGGTGCTTTGCGACTTTTGGTGCGATGGGTTCCTGCCAATACATATCCTACAGTCCATTCACAAGCAACTTTTGTAGAAAATCTAATCAACACCTGACGCAGATAGCATCTGTGTGCATTGAACGTAGTAGAATGTGATGAGAACGATCTATTTCTAGCGCAGAGAACGTCGGATGTGCAGAGGATGCAGATTTCTGTGTAAATATTGAAGAAACGCGATATTAGCTCGCTGAGAATATTTAGTTTGGCATTATGCAATTGAGAAGGTGCTGGACGGAAAGTATGTGTTCGAGTGCAAACAAAATAATTGCATTGTATGTATCTTTATGAACATGTGGATATGTAAAGTTAATCTTCCATATTCAACAGCACGATGAGTGACGAATTGTGTATAACAGCAAAAAAAATAGAAGTAGAATAGCAAGTTATCACATAAGTAAGTGCAGCTGTAAGTTGTGTAAATGTATTTTCATATTTTTGAAAAAAATTGTACTATTGAAATATCGAGATATCAGGGAATGAAACTCAATTAAAGAAAAAAATTCTAAATCATCCTCTTTCCTTTAAAAGAACTACCTAGATTAATGATTATTTTCTGGTACTTCTATCAAAAAAATAAAATTATCTTTACAACTACAGTTGTCTGGTGTTATTTATTTGAAATATAGTTTTCGTTCTTTATTCTTTATCTTTTGGGTATTTTGCCACCTTTGAAAAAAGTAAAAAAAAATAATGAAATAAAATCTTACGCAAAAAGAATGAGTGAGTTGCTTAACCAAATCTGTCACACTTAAAAAAATAACCCAATAAAAATACAATAAACATGTTACTACGAGGGCGGGTCAATAAGTCCGTGACTTTTTTAATGAAACACAGGTTTTTATATAAAAAGTTATTATATTTTTCAACATAGTCTCCTTTGAGTTCTATACACTTAGTCCAACGTTTCTCCAATTTTTTTATCCCTTCCGAAAAATATGATTTGTCGAGGTCATCAAAATAGGCATTTGTTTGTGATATGATTTCGTCGTTGGAGTCAAATCTCTTTCCGCCGAGCCATTTCTTCAAGTTTGGGAAAAAGAAATAGTCACTCGGGTCTAAATCTGGAGAATAGGGCGAATGAGGGAGCAATTCGTAGCCCAATTCATGGATTTTTGCCATGGAAACTGCACATGTGTGCACCCTTGCATTGTCCTGGTGGAAAAGAACTTGTTTCTTGGCCAAATGCGGTCGTTTTTTTTTTCAATTCTTCATTGAATCGATCCAAAAGTTGGTATAATATTCGCCATTGATTGTTTTCCCCTTTTGAAGGTAGTCAATGTGGATTATTATACCGCGTGCATCCCAAAAAACGGTCGTCATGACTGACAAACTCACCTTTGCCTTCTTTGGCGCCGATTCACTCCGAGAAACCCACTGTTTTGACTGCTGTTTGGTCTCCGGTGTGTTGTGGTGGATCCACGTTTCGTCCACGGTTACGAAACGGCGCAAAAACTCGTCCATATTGCGGTTGAACAACGCCGAACATTCCTGCGAAATTGTCGCACGGTTGCGTTTGTGGTCGATTGTGAGCAAACGCGGCACCCATCTTGCGGAAAGCTTTCTCATACCCAAGTGATCATTCAAAATTGAAACCACTGAGCCATGTGAGATGCCTATGGCTTCCACAATCTCTCTCACTTTCAATCTCCGATCGGCTAAAACCATATCGTGAATTTTTTCAATTGTTTCGGATGTAGAGACCTCAACTGGGCGTCCAGAACGTTCGGCATCTTCCGTGCTTGTACGGCCTCATCGAAATTCAGTAAACCACTTCTTTACCATGGAAATGGATGGTGCAGAGTCCCCATAATATTTATCAAGCTTAGCCTTGATTTGAGTATTGTTTTTTTCCCGCAAAAAATAAAGCTTAATGAGCACACGAAATTCACTTTTTTCCATTTTCTTCTCAAAACGCGCGGTAGTCTGCTATCAACGGCTGCCAAACACAAACTAAATGACGCAGCTTGTTCAAATTTAGACAGGAGTCAACTGACAGTTGCCTGTTGACAGGAGCACTGTTGCCATTTCAATTAAGAGGCGGGAAATTAAAAAGATCACGGACTTATTGACCCGCCCTCGTATATATCGCCCCCATATCCAAAAGTTGTTAACTGAAACTTTCGAAAATGTATCTTATTTTTTTTTGATAGTATAAATTTGTTTGTTTTTGTCTGTTGCTATAATTAGAAATATTATATGATGTTTATTCTATCATTATTATATTTGGTTGAATACAAATTTTTTATTTTTCAAATTCTCTATTTCTAATGCAGTGTTCGTCCTTGTCTATTCGAATAGGCTATTGATTATATCCAAAAAACAGGGTTAAAAGGAACTATGACATTCAAGCAATTTTATTGCATGAATCGTTCAAAGCATCATTTTAGAATAAAAAACGCGGTGCTATTAAATTAGGGGGTGAAAATTGGAGATAGGGGTGAAAATGCACCCCTTTCAGTTTTTTAATTCTAGCTCGAAAACGAAGCAAAATTTCGCTATAGTTTATAGGAAAAATTATTTAGAGAATTGAATTTCCCATCGAAATGGCTTATGTAAAAAATTTAAAAGGAAAATTTTATGCAAAAAATCGTTAATACACAGTTTGAAAAAAAGCAACTTATTTATATATATTGTATATATTATAAATCTCATTTGAGAGTAAAAAAGAAATATAGTATGATAAACTGTAACTTCATTTGAAAAATCTCTCATAGTCCCATATAGTTGTGAAAATCTTTATTTATTATTAACAAATAAAACTTTTGAAACAATTTTTTATTAAGTAAAGAACCAATTCGTCGTAAAAATAATAAGAATTATAATCATTATTATGTTAAAATCGACGAAAATCTAAAAATATTTAAGTTTGACCTGTTACAAATACTCAGTCAATATGCTTCCAAAAATTTCTGAAAACATATCATTTTGAAGGGAATCTCATCTAGTTTTTTTGTGCAGCAATTTTCTTTCACTACTTCTACTAAAAAAAAAAAATTAGTCAAAAAAATAAAAAAAATCTAATTTTTTGCTTTTTTTGAAATTCAATTTTGCTTGGTTCGAGCTACAATTAAAAAATTGAAAAGGGTGCATTTTCACCCCCATCTCCAATTTCCACCCTCTAATTTAATAGCGTTACGCGGTTTTTTCATATAAAATCACCATTTGAACGATTCATGTAATAAAGTATCTTGGACGCCATAGTTTATTTTAAAATCCTTTTATCAATAGCCTATAATTTTTGCAGATCGAAAGGTCTCGCCAACATAATGTTTGTTGCGTTCGCAAGGTATGTTATAAATGCAATTTATTGAATTCTGAAATTATTATTTGGAAACAGGCCAGAACCAACAAATTGAAACTGTTAATAATTAAAAGCCAGATATATTTTGAAACACATTCTCCTACGTGAGATTCTTTGTTAGGAAAAACTGTTTTCGTTAGAATAATCCATGATTGATCCTTTTGGCACAAGGGTTTATTTCATTAATTTTTTTATATTATTACGCAGATGGAAAAATACCACCCAAAAAATAACTACAATTGTCCTCTATGATCCTCAAGATTAGAGAAACACAGTTTATTAAGAATTGTTGAAGAAACACTGAAAAAATAAATTTTGGTTTGCAGTTGCCTTGTGATAACTACAATGTAAAAAAATTACACTCAAATTCACTCAATTTTACTCAATAATGTATCAGTTTCTGTCCACACCCGATTGAGTGAACTTTTGTGAGTGAAACTACACAACAAAAGTGAGTAAATTTCACTAAAATCCG